CGGGGCGCGTAGCCAGGCGCAGTGCCTGCTGCAGCAGATCCGCGCGCTGCCGGGCCAGCTCGCCAGCTACGCGCTCGCGCACTCGCTGGGCCGCTGGCTCGTGTACCCTGGCTCCGTGTTCCTGACGACGCGCGCGTTGCTGCCGCTGCTGCAGCAGGGCCAAGAGCGCCTCGTGGAACGCTACAGTGGCCGGCGCGCCAAGCTGGTGGCCTGTGACGGCAACGAGATTGACACCATGTTCATGGATCGCCGCCAGCACCCGGGCAGCCATGGCCGCGGCCTGCGCCTTGTCATCTGCTGCGAAGGCAACGCTGGCTTCTACGAGATGGGCTGCCTGTCGGCGCCACTCGAAGCCGGCTACTCAGTGCTGGGCTGGAACCACCCGGGCTTCGGGGGCAGCACGGGAGCACCCTTCCCTCAGAACGACGCCAACGCCATGGATGTGGTGGTCAAGTACGCCCTGCACCGCCTGCACTTCCCACCCACGCACGTGGTGGTCTATGGGTGGTCTATTGGCGGCTTCACCGCCACCTGGGCCACCATGACCTACCCGGAGCTGGGAGCACTGGTGCTGGACGCCACCTTCGATGACCTTGTACCGCTCGCGTTGAAGGTCATGCCCCACAGTTGGAAGGGGCTGGTGGTGCGCACCGTGCGTGAGCACTTCAACCTCAACGTCGCTGAGCAGCTGTGCTGCTACCCGGGGCCAGTGCTGCTGCTCCGGCGAACGCAGGACGACGTGGTCAGCACCTCGGGCCACCTGCCCTCCCTGTCGCCCGGCGACATGCAGGGCAACCGTGGCAACGAGCTGCTGCTGCGTCTCTTGCAGCACCGCTACCCAGCCGTGATGTCGCGTGAAGGCCAAGCCGTTGTGACCCGCTGGCTGCGCGCCAGCAGCCTGGCACAGGAGGCCGCCTTCTATGCGCGCTACCGCGTGGACGACGAGTGCTGCCTGTCCTTACTGCGCTCCTACCGCGTGCGCTGTGAGGAGGAGCTGGAGGACGAGGAGGTCAGGGGGCCGCATGGGCCTGCCTTTCCCTGGCTTTTGGGCCAGAGCCTGAGCTCGCGGCGGCGCCGGCAGCTTGCGCTGTTCCTGGCGCGCAGGCACCTCAAGAACGTAGAGGCGACTCACTGCTGCCCGCTGGAGCCAGAGGACTTCCAGTTGCCCTGGGAGCTGTAGCCCGAGCACCGGGGCTTGGGTCCATTTCCCTCCCCACATCCCCAACCAGTAAAGCTGACCCTGTGGGGGCATCCTGATCTGGTGTACGGGGAGAGTGTGCAGTTCATCTGGACCTGGTGTTCTCCCTTCACTGGCCGCTGACTTTCCCTCCGTTCTTCCTTGTGCTTCCTTCCTTTCTTTCTCTCGCTGCCCCTAGCACTTTTGGACGCCTGTGCCCAGCTCCTAAAGGGAATGCAAAGATTAACCTGACCCAGTTTATGGCAATGCTGTGTTTTGGGACTGGATCACCACAAGGGTGATGGGAATAGGGGCTGGAGGGCCACAGGATGGCTCCTGGAAAGGTGATACCAGCTGACTGTTGAAGGGTGTGTACAAGTTGCCCCCTAGCTGTGAAAGGACATTTGCATTGAAAGGCTATAAAGCAGGTCTTAACAGCTGGAGATTCTCAGGAGTATGATGCTGCTCATCTGTAGTCTCCCATCTCCAAGCTCCTGGTTCTATAGGAGAGGGCTCAAAGAGGGACCGTAGACCTCGAGTAACAGGTACACACCTGCACTGGCCATTTATTACTGGGTGTCCCCTGGAGCCAGTTCTGGGCTGGGCTTTATTCCTGGCTCCGGGATGCAACACAGAATGAGAAGCAAGTCCTCTGCTCACTGCCATCTGTAGTGTGGTCACTTCTCTATGGTCTGCTCTGAACTGCATGAAGCAGGGACTATTGGCTGTCCCTGTTGTCCCCAGCCCCTGGTTGGGTTGAGCAAGAACCTATGGAAAGAATGTAAGGTGGTAAGTGAGGAAGACATTTCGAGTACCAGAGCAGGATAAGGCCATGATAGCAAAGCGCCTGTGCAAGATAGTAGGAGGACGGACATCTGCCAGGAGGCGAGTCAGGGGAAAGAAGTGGGCAGTGGGAGGGACTTCCATGCCTAGGGATCAGTACCTGCAGAGTGGTGGCCTGGATGGAAGGGGTGTGTGTGTGTGCGCGCGCGCGCAGTCCAATGGGATCAAGTGTGTGTGTGTGTGTGTGTGTGTGTGTGTGTGTGTGTGTGTGTGCAGTCCAATGGGATTAGATCCTCAAGGGTTTGAATACCATTTAAGAATTTTCCTCAGAGGCCAAGTAGCAGCCAAAGAAGGGAAGGTGTGGGACTCTTTTTAGCGGTTACACAGTTCTCCTTTGAAATCAGGCAAACTGTTGTTCCAGAGTCTCCCGGTAGCCCTCAATAGCTGAGTGACCTTGGGCAAGTTACTTTAACCTCAGATCCCCGTCTGCAAAGTGGGAAGGGCGCAGGACCTGGCTCACGGGTTGCTGTGAGAAGGGTGTGAGATAACACACGGGTGCCGCGGGGCTCCGGGCTCCCCGCAGACGCGCTGGGCCGAAGGAATTCAGGGGCCGAGATGCGTCCACCGGGGCCGGGCAGCGCGGAGGGCAGCGGCGCCTGCAGGGCAAGAGGACGAACCGCGGTCTCGACTTTTTCTGTGCAAGTGCCATACAATAAAAAAATCCCCATAAAGAGGACGAACTAAAAGGAAAACCAAAAAAAGGCTTACGGGGGGGGGCTGACCCCCAAAGTCAGGGGGTCGGGCCCTGGAGGGACCTCATGGGGTCTGAGCCTGACTCGCTGAGCGCGCGACCGTGGCACTAGTGGGCAGCGTATACAGGCCCGGCTTCCCCAGCGCCATGTCGGACGGTCCTCCCACTTCCCACCTCCTCTGTGCTCCTGCTCCTCTGACCGTTCTACCTGTGCGTCTCGCTGGTGGAGCCGACCTCGGAGGGGTTTCCTCAGAACCCTGCCTCTCTTTCCGGCTTCGCTAGCAGCTTCGGCCTATCAGGATGGAGCGGACAAACCGGGACTGAGCCAAAAACACTCTCATTGGACGCCGCCCGTGGAGGGCGGGACGAAGACGGAGCACACGCCCAAGCGGAAGTGGGCTGTCGCGTCGCTGATTACGCAATGCGCCGGTGGCCGAGGCGGTTCCACTGGCTGGTGTGTATGCGACGGTCAACTCCCGGTGCTCGGCTGCTGCCGCCCGCTACCTTAGCCTCGACGCCAGCTGCGGCCTGGCCGCCGCCGGAACATGGACCCCGCCGGCCAAGGTATCCGCCGGGCTCGGTGCCTCCGCCGCAGATCGGGCCGGACCGCCCCGCGCCCCGGACCCTCCCCGGGCTCGTGTCCGGGATTCTCGGTCCCCTCAGCCCGTCCTCCCGCCCCGAGACCCCTCATCAGCTCCCAGGCCCCTGATCTCGAAGCTCACGGTGGTTGTGGTGTGCATCTACGCCCCCGGCTCGGACCGCTTCCCGGCCGCTCTCCAGCGGCCCTCCTGGCCTCCCCTGGGACCGCGCCGAGGTCCGCGTCCCCGGAGCCTTCCCTTTGTTCCCAGAGCGTGGGTTTCCTCCCTCCAGGTAGCTCTCTTTATGCCACTCACCCGCCGCCCGGCCCTTGCTCGCTCCACCGCCCTCCGTCTCTGCGCAGGGCCCTCGGGGTCGCTCCATCAGGGCTGGAGCCGGGCCGAGGTGTTGTGGGCGACTCTCGGGCAGGGAGAGGCGGGTGAAGCCGTCCTCGTTTCAGCGCAGAGTCCCCGGAGTGGCCGAGCTGCTCGGAGCCCAGCCTACCTAGGGGTTGCCTCGTGGGGAGGAAGGTGGAGTGAGTCGGGGGCACACCCAGCGTGCCAGGCCCGTCTCCAGAACAGACACCCCGAACCGGAGGAGACGGCCACTGCGGGGCGCGCAGCGGGCCCAGGAGGTTAAAATCTTAAGAGGATGGTACAAGTATGTTTTCCATTCTGGGGCTCTGGAGAGGGGATGCAAATTCCCACGCTGAAATAACTACACTGGATAAACTCAGGTAGCTTTTCTACTGTTTGTCCTGTAACACCGTATTAATCAAGCAACAGAATTCCTTGGTTCTGATACATTCTGGAGGTTTTTCTACTTTTGAGGGCTATCGACAAAAGAGTTTAGCATCAGAAACCTCCGACTCTGTTAAACTCAGGAGGCTTTTCATTGTTTAACTTGCACCTCTAGATTCTGATCATAACAATGACAAAACGTTACTGAGCTCTGTGTGCCTGACACCATCTTAAGTCTGTTTCTCAAATGATCTTTTACCATTTTCAGAATAAACTTTTGAGATTGGTCATTGTATTATCCCCACTTTGTAGATAACTATGCAGTGTTAGAGAGCTGGGACTCATCCGGAGTGAAGGGCTCTAGCTCTCTAATTCTGCCTATGGCACCAGCCCCACGCTTATTCTCTGTAGTACTTTTGGTAAGTAAGACACTTTCCTGGCCTCATTCTCTTCTGTAAATTGGGATGTGAATGGCTTCTACTTGCAGTGGTGTGGTGAGGTTGATATCTTGTAGAGTGATTTAAAGTGCCTGGCACATGTAAGTGCCCAGTTTCTATCTGGGGATGATTTCCATGGGATTCAATTTTAGCTTCATAGGCACAAACTGTCCAAGAGCCTACATTTATTTTTTTAAAATGAAAGAAAAATTATAGAATTTTAAGGCACTTACTGAACTCAAGTGAGTTCAACACAGTGTATACAAATGATGAAGTAAAATCATGTGGGTTGATCTCAGTTAAAAATCAGATTCAGGCCTGGCTGGTTAGCTCAGTTGGTTAGAGGGAGACCTTGTACACCAAGGTCAAAGATTTGGTTCCCTCCACTGGCCAGCCCAAAAAAAAAAAAAAAAAAAAAAAAAGATTCAGTTGGTAAAAAGTGGATGTGCTTCATTTAGTAAACATACGTTGAACACCAAGAAAGTGCACAGCTTCAGCTGTATGGGACATGCAAAGGGAATGAGATACAGCCGGCTACTGCTTATCCTTATGTGCTGTCTGTAGACTTTCAGTGCAGACAGGAAGATGCATTTAACATGAAGAAAAATTTGAACCTGATCTGGGCGTAACAGAGGTGTGTGGAGGCAGTGTTCTCCTCTGCACTCTCCACATCCTGGTGGCTTCCTGGCTGTGGGGTGGGGGTTGAGGATGAGATTAAAGGGACTTTTGTTTTGCCGACTCCCTGCAGGGGCTGGATGACTACGTGTGCTCCTTGTATGTAATTTTAGCATGTGTCCTGGCAGATGAGTTAAGTGGACAGTGATGCTATTGTGTTTATAGCCATATTGGGTTCCTTCACTCTAAAAAATGGAAGATCTTTTAGATTGGGCTACTTTCTTCATAGGGAGGATTTTGTGTCTCAAGATAGTATCCCCACAGGGGAAACCAGAGTTAGAGTTTGGCGGTCTTGCGCCAGCATTTCTAGTGGTTTGAAGCAGCATAGGTGGTATTGGCTTTGTGTCTTGGGTGGCCTGAGATGTAGCTGTACTTAGTGTAATGCCCAAACTGTCTTCACAGACCTTTTGGAGAAGAGGTGGTGTCAGTCTCCACAGCCTCCCTCACGCCCACCCTCTTTCCCCCAGCCACCTGCCCTTTCTTTCTAGTGGAGACCTCTACCCTATTGACTTCCCCCTAATTTACTTGATGCTTTCTGATCTTATTTTGTCTCTGGCAGATATCAACCTGAATTCTCCTAACAAAGGTCTGCTGTCTGACTTCTTGACTGATGTCCCTGTGGACACAGGTGTGACTGCCCGGCCTCCTGCTGTTGAGGGCCTGACGGAGGCTGAGGAGGAGGAGCTCAGGGCCGAGCTCGCCAAGGTGCTGTGGCTTGGCAGTCTATCATGGGGTGACTGTGAGTCAAGGCCCTCTTGGGTCAGTGAGGGACCAGAGCAGTTGCTGTGCTTTGGGGGAGTTGCCCCTGGGGGGTCCCGCCCTGTTCTGTGTTCCCACTGATTACTTTGTATATGCCTAGTTCCATGTATTGGACTCAGAGCCACCTGGCGGTGGAGACAGGGCCTGACCTTGTCCTCCGCACTCTGTGCCTGGCACTTTGTAGGTGCCCCACGAGAATTTTCACCGAGGGATAGCTCTCTGAGCATGCCATTGGCTGAGAGTTTCTTTTGCGACCTCATGAATCTATCTGCCCTGGGTATTAATTTTTCTTTAAAAGTAATTATTTTGTAAAGAGTGCTTCATATAATCTTTAGGTGATAGTTCTTTAAGAGTAAAATAGGCATTAAGAACAAAAGCCTCTAAGCATTATTTATATTCAAACCAATTGCCACAAGTGTTTCTTTTCACCCTGTAATACAGAATTTAACAGTGACTCATTTCAGATTCCAGAATCTGGGGAAATGAACTTTCAGAGTCTGGAGCACTGCTTGTTTTCAGCCTCCACTCTGTCTTCAGAGGCGAGACCCACCCCTCTCAATATGCTTGGACCCAAGCCTAGGTCTGAGCAGAGCGAGTATGCAGCTGAACCTCAGCCCCAGGGCCAGGTTTCAAGTCATGGGGGACATAACACAAGAAGATTAAGAGAAAAGTAGCAAGAAGTCCAAGGAGACTTTGCTTTACATTTTATTTCAGAGGGCCGGCCCGGTGGCGCACTGCTACAGTGCGCCGCTTGGGAGCGCGGCGGCGCTCCTGCCGAGGGTTCGGATCCCACATACAGACCGGTTCCTGCTCACTGGCTGAGGGAGGTGCGGGCGCGGCACCGAGGGTTGCGATCCCATTGCTGGTCCTGGTCCGGTACGGGCGCGACACTGAGGGTTGCGATCCGTTGCCGGACACGAAAAAAGACAAAAAAAAGGAAAAAAAAAAAAAAATACATTTTATTTCAGAGGGCTGGCCCGGTGGCGCACTCGTACAGTGCGCCGCTTGGGAGCGCGGCGGCGCTCCTACCGAGGGTTCGGATCCCACATACAGACCGGCCGCTCACTGGCTGAGCGAAGGGCGGGAGCAACGCCGAGGGTTGCGATCCCGTTGCCGGTCCTGGTCCGGTGCGGGCGCGACACTGAGGGTTGCGATCCGTTGCCGGACACGAAAAAAGACAAAAAAAAGGAAAAAAAAAAAAAAATACATTTTATTTCAGAATATTTTGGTTTACGGCCGCTCACTGGCTGAGCGAGGTGCGGGCGCAACACCGAGGGTTGCGATCCCATTGCTGGTCCTGGTCCGGTACGGGCGCGACACTGAGGGTTGTGATCCGTTGCCGGTCACGAAAAAAGACAAAAAAAAAAAAAGGAGAATATTTTGGTTTAGAAACTAAAACCACAGGGTTTTCAGAGGTGAACTGTGTGGTGAAGAAGTTCTGTGTCACTTAAAGTGCTCAATTTTCATGCTCCCCAAGACAACTAGACCACATGCCCTTTAGCCCTGTTGGTCACTGGACCATAAATGGAGCACTCTGGCCACTGATTGTACTTAATTGTTGGGTGACTAATAGTAGTTTGGTCTTAGATAATCCTATGTTTTTTTTTTTTTTTTTTTTTTCCTTTTTGTCTTTTTTTGTGACCGGCAACGGATCGCAACCCTCAGTGTCGCGCCCATACCGGACCAGGACCGGCCACGGGATCGCAACCCTCGGCGTTGCTCCCGCCCCTCGCTCAGCCAGTGAGCGGCCGGTCTGTATGTGGGATCCGAACCCTCGGCGGGAGCGCCACTGCACCTCCCAAGCGGCGCACTATAGCAGTGCGCCACCGGGCCGGCCCGATAATCCTATGTTTTTAAAGTTATTTCTTGTTTCAACTATTTTCTAAAGCAAAACCTAGTGATTTACGGGGCTCTTAGCTGTTTTTTAGTGGCTTATTCCAAACGATCACTTTTTTAAGAAAGGGAATTTTTTTAGAATAGCTATTCACATAGGTGTTGAAAATATTGAGAACTCATTTGAAAGTGGTAAAGCTTTAAAAGCTTTAGAGAATGCTTCTTTTAGAAGACTTTCTTTCTTTCTTTCTTTTTTAATTTAAGACCTGAAAATATTTAAGTATTTATTATCAGGAATCTTTCTGTTACCCAACTCAAACTGCCTTAAGCAAAAAAGAGAGCTTACTTTTTGGCTTGTGTAACTGGCTTTTGCCAAGGCCTGGAGCTGACCTCAGGAACACAGATGTTATCATAAGGGCCGTGTCTCTGTCTCTTTCACCTAGGTCTCCATCCATCCGTCAGCTCTGCTTCCTTCTCACTGCATATGGAATTCCCCCATGGGTGCAGATGGGGCCTGGCTGCCAGCATTTCCAGCTTCTGTTGTCTAAGCCCACACCCAGAGCCCAGAGGGATAAGGGGCTTCTCTATTTAATACCCATGCTCCGTCCCAGGGAGGAGCTCTGACAGACCTCGCTTGGTCTTCTCAGGCTAGTCCTTGCCACCAAGGGTGGACATAGTGATTGGTTGCCCCACCAGATCCACCTGGTTTGGGGGGATGGGACAGTTCACTAGAAATTGGAGTGCTAGTACCAGATAAAAAGAGAACAGATGTCTGTTGTAGACTCTATTCCTAAGACAAGTTATGTTTCTGTAAGCAAAAAGTTCTTACGTAATTCTGAGAACCCTCACTGCAGTGTGTATAAGGACATTAGTCACTTCCTCCAATAGTGATGGCTCATCATGTCAGCTGCATGCTTTGCAGGTGGAAGAGGAAATTGTCACTCTGCGCCAGGTCCTGGCAGCCAAGGAGAGGCACTGTGGAGAGCTGAAGAAGAGGCTGGGCCTCTCTGCCTTGGGGGAGCTGAAGCAGAACCTGTCCAGGAGCTGGCATGATGTGCAGGTCTCTAACGCGTAGGTACCTGCCCCACAGCCGGGGTTTGCCTCTACCCTTCAAGGGTGTGCCTTGTGGGTGGAGAGTTAGCACTTGGGGAAGGGGTTCCTTACAGCTATGGGGGGATTGAGTGAGCTTGTTTGGAAGCAGCCAGTAAGAGGCCTTGACTCCCTTGGTTTAATGTAAAGGAAGTGGTCAGTTCTGCCCTGCTGAAGCCCACCTGGACTCCCTCCCTGGTCCTGCACAGGGTGAGGTTGAGGTAGGGCACCCTGTTCTCAGGCAGACTGGAGAGTTGTTTTTCCTGCCAGCTGGAATCTCTTCTCATTCTTCTGAATAATTCACCACAGACTTTCTGTTTTTAGCTATGTGAGAACTTCTGAGAAACTTGGAGAGTGGAATGAGAAGGTGACGCAGTCGGACCTGTGAGTGCCTGTGCCTCTAGCCCCTCCCCCCACACTCCTCAGGCCCAGGGAGACTGCACCCCTGGCACAAGCCTTGTTTTGGTGTTTGCTGGCTTTTTTTTTTTTTTAACATAGGTTGTCTCTTCTCAAGTACAAATGAAACTGTCCTTTAGACTCTTGTGGAACAGGGTGCAGTAGCTGAAAGAAATTCACCTAGCCACCATACCACACTTAAAACTTTCCTCTGCCTGACACGCGTCCCTTAGATAAGAGGCTGGAGATGGGCTTGGGCAGCATCTCTGACTAGTCGATGCTCCTTGGCTGTCAACAGTGGGCAGGTGGTCGGCCTGATTTTGGTGGTGGCAGGTTTTTGTTTGGTTGTTCTTTTTGTTGGTGTCCTCCTTCCTTCCCCTGCAGACTTACTCCAGGTGTTGGGTTCTCAGAGCTTCACTTGTACTTCAGGGGTGGTTCTTGAATGGGAGGTGGCATGGGCTGTGCTGGTGGGATAGTGAAGCCAGTGGTCTGAGAGGCGCTGCACCACCAGTTCCATGGAGCGTCAGCAGAGCGAGAGCTATGCGTGGACAGCTCCATGTGTCTGTTGGAGCCATAGTTTAAAGTGACTTCTGATGTTTTCAGTTTCTCAAACTAGATGATAGCACTTTCTTTATCTGTGCTTCAATCCGATTATAAATTCTTTGAACTGGGTAGGGGAATATTTAAAAATAGTCCCTGCGGGATTTTTCCATCTCTTGTTTAGAAGGAAGTGCTGTCGTGGTTGCCATAGAACAGGGGCAGAAAGTCCTTCCATGTTTGGGCTGAAAGGAAGTGCTTGCTTCTGAGCTTGTCTTGAAGGTGCTTGGGGACAAGTTCGGCTCACTGTGCATGAAGCCTTTGCAGTCTGGTGTCAAAACAGGGTGCAGGTGCCGGGAAGTGCTGACTGTTTGTGTGCTTTGATACAACAGCCAGCTGTTGCCCTGGGTATTCTAGGAGCACTGGTGGGCTGCGTCTTTAGGGTTGCATGCAATGGTGACTTTACCGGGAAGCAGATGTTCCTTAGGTTGAGACAGTGGCCGTCATCTGGGTGGTGTGCACACCAGGCAGACACATAGTGCAGACTCAGTCTGAAAATAGTCTTAGGAGACTTCAGTGCTGTTCTGTAAAACCAGCTGACGTAAAGCTGCTGAGATTCTACTCAGATAAGTAATTTCTCAAAGAGCTTAGGACACTTGGAATTCTGAGCCCTCTGAGAGAAACCTGTGGCTTGGCCTGGAAGTGTGTGGCTGGTGTGTCCCCTGGGAGGGGCCATTCCCCAGAGATCTCACCCCTGATTCTGTGCTGGAAGAGTTGTTCAAGTGGTGCTTCCAGAGCTGGAGGCATTTCCTCATGATAGCCTTGGAGGAGGGTGATACGGCTCTGGGACAGCATGGCTGAAAATGTAAGTTTCAGGGGATGGGCTGCTGGCAGGTGGAGGCCATGGGGCTTGCTTGCTGACTTTCCTGACCTGCCTGAAGGTTCCTTCCAGCTAGCACCTTGGAGGATGGAGCGAGAACATGGCCCAGGAGGTGCAGTGAGCATCTGCACTAGTGCACGGCCCTTGTGAGCTGAGCTGCTCCATCTTCCCAGCTGACCACCTGCTTTGTGTGTGAGAGCCACTGTGCCCTGTGGGTTGGAAGTGATCTCCTCATGTTCTCTTAATGGGCAGATCTAGCTGAAAGCCCTTGTGCTGAGAGTGGGTGTCCTGTAAGCCCTGCAGTACTAGTTTGCTTACTCTTAGTCCTTTTGGCTGTAGGTGACAGAAAGCACAGCTAAAGGTGGTGTCAACCAAAAGGAAGGTGGCAGAACTCACCTGGCAAGGAAGCCTCTGCTCCCAACTTTGCAGTCCAGCAACAAGGTGGTCCAGGTGTGGGTCTTATTGGACTAGTCGCTATGGCCAGGGAGCTGGTGTCCTCTGGCTGGCCAGGCCTGGATCACTTGCTCACCCTGAATGAGGGTTGGGGCAGCCCCGCAAGAAAGGTTCCAGAGAAGTTGGAGAAGGAATATCCACCAGATGCTCATGACTTAAGGACGTGTTCACTGATTAGTGGGAGGAAACTGCTGGTATCCAAGGCTCTTTTCCTAAGAGGTCTCAATAACTCCCAGAGGGGTGCTGGCTGGGGCGGCAGGCACAGTTACCTGGGCACAGTTATCTGTAGTCAACTACAGCTGGGCCTAGTTATCTGGGTTCAGATGCTGGCTCTGCCCTCAGCCCTGTCACCTCCTGAGCTCACCTCCCCATCTGTGTCATGGGGTGAGAACAGCCCCTACCTCCCAGTTCACCGAGGAGTATGTGTCCATGTGTGCAAGGCCCTTGGAATGGGTCTGCAGCACTGTGAGCCCGTGGGAGGGATGGGCACCCAGGATGGGGCTGAGAAGAAGAAAACAGAGGCCAGGGCCACAGGTGCTGGTGGGGACCTGCTGCAGGAGGAGAAGAGCCTGTGAGGTGCTGGTGGTGGCCTCGGGCCATGCTTGTTATGCCGACTGCCCCCGGGGCATCTGGCTATGGAGGAGACTCGCTTGGGACCCCTCATTTCTACACACAAGAAATGCTGATGGGCTCCACAGCCCACCCAGGGTGTAGGTTTTATAGCACTGCGGGGACTACAGTGGCTCCTTGTGTGCATGGGGGGGGGTCACCCTCGTGACCTTCCTTCTTGTTCCCAAGGCAATCAATGCTGGGCACGGGGGCTTATCTTCTCTCCAATTCAGTTTCCCCAGGTTCACCCTTTGGTTACAGATGCAGATTCTGTGAAGTTTTTTCTCTAAATCCTCTGTTTCAGATTGTCTTCAGCAAATCACAAAATGTTAATATGGTTTCAAGTATTTGTTACTTCAGGGAAAATTGAGGTTGAGGATGTGTATTTCTGAAACTAGATGCTGCAGGTCACTAGTGCACCTGGTGGTAACAGAAAATAGCCCCGGCTCTAGGTGCGCAGAGTCTGTTTCTTGCAGATGGTCTTGCTGGACTTGGCTTTGGCAGGATCATCTGGCTGGGCCATGGTTGGGGGCTCTGGCAGGCACTACAGGTGAGCCCAAGAGTAGATGCAGAGCCTTTCCTCGCGGGCTGTGCTGTGGGGGTGTGCTGCCAGCTCTGCCTGTGTCCTGAATCACCGCAGTCTTGTTAGACTGTTGTGGTAGTTGGGGGCAGCTGGAGGGCAGCCTCCTTCAGTGAGCAGTGGGTGGGGAGGAAGGGTGCCTGGTGTGACCTGGTGGCACTGACAGGGACAGAGGAGCCCGTGTCTTTTCGGGAGGCCTGTCTCCCAATCTGTTATTCTCTCGAGGCTTAGCCAGGTTTGCTGGGAAGGCGCTCTCCAGGTAGGCCTGGGTGCTGCTGAGGTGGCCTCGGATGCCCCGTCTCGACTCAGCCTCAAATTCCCTGGCATCATGCGTGAGGAGCTGTGGCCCAGAGGCTTTGGGTTTGGGTTTTGGTAGTGGGCTCTGTCATGTTGGAGGCTGTCATATCTTTTGTTTTTGTGGCAGCTGGACAAGGGCCAGCAGCTTCAAGCATTGACACTCACGGTGGGCCCCAGAGTGTCCCTCTTGTCCCTGCATACCACATCCCGCCCACCCTTTGCCTGTCCTGCTGATGTTGCGGTCATGGAGCCCAGCTCGGTGTGGTTGCGCCCACATGGGGGCGGACGCTGGAGAAGGTGGAAGCAGAGGTCTTCACCGCAGGCCAAGACCATGCTCTTGCACCGTGAGGGGTGGTGTGAGGATGCTACTTTCCCGTGCTCTGAAAGGACATTGTACAGCCAGCATTAGAGGGCGACGGGCTACTCGGTCTGGAGGAGGGAGGCACCCCACAGGGCACGTGTCAGAAGGGTGAAGCTCACACCCCCAGGGCAGCAGTTGGACTTGGGTTTTTTCCCCTGAGGGACTGTCTTTTGTCAGAAGAAGAAGGGGAAACTTCGAGCTGGTGTTGGCTAGGTCAGGGAACTAGAGGACTTTTCTGCCTCCTGCCGCTCTGGCATTGCCTGCCTAGGCATGCAGCCCAGATCCAGGTGCCACAGTGGGCCTGTCTCCTCTGTGGCAGCTAGGCATTGCGTTTTCAAGGTAGTCAGAGATGCCATGAGAAGACAGGCAGGCAGGCTGAGCTTCAGGTGGAGGCAAAGGTGAATTGTTAAGATAAGAGAACGAAGTGTCATCGCAGGGTTGGGTGACTTGGCCATGTTGCTGAGCGTTCAGTGCAGTCTGCCACTGTGGTGCCCCTGGGGGCCAAGGAGCCCTGGTGCAAGTCCCCTCCGTAGCAATTGAGTGGTTGCTAGCCACCTGCTCTGACTCCTCCCCTTTCCCTCCCCACGGCTGCTCCTCTGGTGCTCTCTTTCCTTGGCCATGGCTTGTTCCTGCTATTTGATTGTTTAACTGGTGTATCTTCTTCCCAGCTACAAGAAAACTCAGGAAACTCTCTCGCAGGCAGGACAGAAGACTTCTGCTGCTCTGTCCACGGTGGGCTCTGCCATCAGCAGGAAGCTCGGAGACATGAGGTAAGATGCCCTGGCCCCTGCCCTGAGGGCTGGTCGGGGCCAGTACGGGGTGAAGTGCTGGAAGCTCTGCAGGAAGCCAGCCTAAAGCCCACAGGTGTGGCCACGCCAGCAAGGACCAGTCTGTACAGTCCCTTGTTTGGGGGATTTCTCTGCCCCCTTTTGGCTGCCTTTTTGCCATTTCTGCATTCTACAGGGGGCACTAGTTCCATTGAGAAACTTCTGGTGCTTGGGATTGTTGAGGAAGGATTCTTTTTCAAGCTTTATCGAGAGGCAGCTACTCTGATCTGGTGATCGGGATCAGAGTGGAGTGTCAGTTTGGACAGGCCTTCTGTGTGTTGCTTCCTCAGGGTCTCGGAAAGTGTGCGGTCAGATACCAGAACACCCCAGCTCTGTGAGGTCTTTCCCAGAGGCTAGGGGGAACCTTGTTGCCATCAGAGGTGCCTCAGCCAGCAGGGTGGGGGCCAGGGTGGGTGGGTAGCTCAGCACTTTGGGGCTGCACACAACACCAACCTGCTCAGTTTGGTGGCCGTGCATGCCTGCCCTGGGTTTCTGTTCTCGGCTCACTGGCCATGCTTCTCTGCTGCATGGCGTGGTGACGAGGGGACTGGGCCCTGGAGCCAAGGCCTGGGTGTGAAGCCAGCTGTGCCACCTCCTCTAGAGCCCTTGGGCACAGCCCTCCCTCACTGGGGTGTGAAAGCCATGGTGTAGGTCGTCACCATCACCAGCATCCTGGCCCTGGCCCCAGGTGCCACCTGCCCTACCTGGACTCCTCACCCATGCTCAAGACCAGTCCCCTCACTTGTGGGTTTCAGGGAATGCCTCCCTGTAGCCCCCAAACCATCCTGATAGTCGAGGATATCCCGGCGGTGTTGCCTGTGGGCTGGGCATGCTGAGGAGGGCACTGACCCCTTGCCTCTTCCCTTCTAGTGTCTCCACAGGATTCACAGACACATGTGTCTCTTCCTTGGGCTGGCGCCTCCCTGTCTGCCTTGGGTTAAGCATGTCCCATCCCCTGGCTTTGGGGGACCGAAGGTGAGGGCTCTTTTGCACCTCGCTCTGCCCTGGCTGCTGGGCGGAGGTGAGGACACAGACGTCCACACACCCAGGGGCCTGCCATGCCGTGCAGAGAGGTAGCTTTTGCCCACGAGCTGTATTCACCTTTTATTTTTGGTTGAGGTAATCCACTCCCATTCCAACTCTTTATTTTGAGAAGTTTCAAACCTCTGGAGAAGCTGCAGTCAGTACATGTGTGTGTTTCTGCTAAGCACACTTGGGGCTCCGGCCATGCTGTGGCTGGGGTTCCTTGCAGGCCGCTGAATGGATGCAGGGCCTGTCCACCACAGCTAAGCTCTGGGCCCAGGAGGGTCCCCACTGAGCTGCAGCCGAATTCAGCTTTGAAGGGCTCTGAGTTGGCAGCAAGGAGGGTCCACTGTGATTTCCTCATTAGGCTTTGAGAAAACTCACTACTGTCCTCTGGGATGCCTCCTTTGTCCATCTGCACTGTGTGATGGTAAACCTGGGGACAGTTGCTGGTCCACTGGTGGCCTGACCTCTCTCCCAGGTACTGCCATGGAGGGTGAAGTAGGGCCATGGTGGGGAGAGCTCTACATTGGGCTGCTGCCTGTTTCTTGCTGAAAATGCCGGTCTCATGCAGAGCATTTTAAGGAAGCAAGAAGTGTCTGCTGTGCCTAAATCGTGAATTCCACTAGGAGTATTCTCTTGCTTTTGGTTTCCTTGCTCACTTTATGTAGTTTTACTCTCCTGAGTTTGTTAAGGGCAGTTCTTTGTATGGCTGGGTTTTCTCTGGAAGTACAGGAACACGATCCCACTTCTCTGCTACTTCTCTGACAAGGAGTGTAGCTCCTAGTCTTTCTTCAGAGGCGTGGGATTTGCTGCTGACTCTGTGGCATTTAGCCTCAGGGCTGTGGCTGGCAGGGAACGGGGTTCTCTCACAGTGACACTGAGCTGGCTCTGTCTGTGCACCGGGCCCCACGTGCTGCGTTGTGGGTTTGCACACGTGCTTCTCCATGCGCAGGCCAGCTGGGGCGAGTGGGGTCCTCACAGTGTCAGAGGAGCCAGCTTTCTCTGGCTGGCTGGTCGTGTTCAAGTGCCAAAGGGATGTCTTGTTTGCTGGTGTGCCTTACCCCAGGGCGCCTTTTGGTTTGTGTTTGTGGTAGATCTTGAACTCTGACATCTTGGGTCCCTTGGTGGTCACAGGCAGGTTCTGAAATCATGGCCTGTTGACCTCCTAGTTTAGAGACTGAGGTTGAGAGTTCACCACTCCTTGGAAATGAAAGGCAGTTCAGGGAGGTTCATATATGAGTCTAGGATTGGACGGTCATTAGTGGGCCCTCCTGATCATTGGGTCCAGGTCCTTTGGGACAGCTGCCCAGTGCCCATGTCCATGATGAGCTTGTCCTGGGGCAGCTCTGGTGCGTGTAGTGATGGGGATGGGGTACAGGGAACTGGATTTGGGTTAGAGACTGATTCACACTAGGGTCAGGTCACCATTGGGCTTGGTGACCTGGGACAAGGCATCTACCCTCCCTGGACCCTAGGCAGTGTCAATGAGCGTGTGTTGGCTCTTCAGTGGTTCCCTCTGTGTCAGAATGGCCGCCTTTTTTGGCTTCCAGAGTGTTAGAGGTGGGGGGCCTGCTACGCAGTGCAGGGTGGTTAGCTGTGTCACCTGCTGAAAGCTGCCCTGGGACACACATTTTCAGGTCTGTCATCCATGGTGACGGAGCCTGGAGCAGAAGTACTTGGCCCCAGGGTGTTCCAGGTCCTCTTATGGTGCTAACGCTCCCCTGCTGCTTCGCTTGTGTTCCAGGTGCTATCTTTGGACCTCTTTGGGGCTTCTGCCTTCCAGCTCCAGACAGAGCGTAGACAGGGGTCCTTTGTCTGGTACTCATGCCCACACCAAGGAAGTGGAGCCGTGGGGCTGGCTGTGCACTTGCGAGAGCTTCTCGCTGAGTCAGGACTTGGGGAGGATAGGACAGGGCTGCAGGTCCTGCTGTCCCTGATGGTGGAGCAGTCACAGAGTGTCCTTCCCACATGGGGCCCCCTGCTCGGGCTTCAGGAGCTTGAGCAGAGGGGCTGGGGCTCTTGGTGGAGGGTCTTGGGCAGGGTGCTGGCGTCCCTTGCTTAATGCTGCATTTTTTCTTTTCTCCTACTGCCACCTTTTAGGGCCCACCCATTCGCACACTCCTTTAGGTAAGGCTGACCCTGGACACACTATGGAAGGCTTTTCTCTTGAGTCAGGGCAGGGTGGATGCTAGGGGTTCCAGGGGAGGCTGTGCTGGTTGAAGGCGGGTGAGTGTGGGGCCGGGGACCTGCCCCTCCCCAGGAGAGTAGCACCAGCTGGGAGTTGCTGCTCTCGAGGCCATCAGCCAGCAGTGTGATTGATGCAGAGGCTCCTCTCCTGGCCTCCCCAACATGTGTGTCCCCTCTGAGTGCTTCACACCTGGGAACGCTCAGGCCAACTGATTCTGAGTCAGTGAGTGCCTGACCCAGCCTCACTCAGTAGCTACCCCTGAGCCAGTTCTTGGAAGGAAGCACTTTCACGAGGAGGCCGTGCTGCCCTCCAGCTGCTCAGTTCTCTGTGTCTTCCTTCCAGATGTCCCGAGAAGCAGTCCTGTCCCTTCAGGCTGAGCTTGTCCCACTTGTTACCTGAGAGGCCTTGGATACTACTCCCAGTGGTCCTTCCCCTTGTGCTGACTAAAGCATGCTCTTCAGGCCAGCCCTGGCCCCTGTCACATGCGCTTCTGGCTGGTACTTGGAGGGCTGGAGCCAAATCCAGAACAATCAGTGATTTTAAATATTTCTACTTAACTTGATCTGGTTGTGTCTCTTTTGCCAAAAGGTCACTTAACTTAATGTGAAGTCAAGTAAGGGCACTTGAAGGTTATTTGTACCAAATCTGTTTTAGAAGCCCCAGGCCTGTGTCTCCTTACCATTTTCCTAAGTTGAGGCTCTCCTTTAGCAGGGCCACCCCACTAGGCGACTTTGAACGCTCCCCATGGAGCCGGGAGAGGAGCCTTGGTCGAGGTTTCCTTCTGGGGCACTGTGTGGAGGGGCCAGCAGCTTGTTCCAACTGTGCTGGGAGTGGGGGTTCCACCGCTCCCCGCTCTGCTGTGTGTGAACAAGCTGAGAACTCCTGCTGGTCTTGTTCTTGGTGTTAACTCTTGCTCCCCTCTCTGCTTCTACCACGCTTCCAAGCAGCAGCTACTCCATCCGCCACTCGATAAGCATGCCGGCCATGAGGTAACGTATGCTGATCTCCTTTGCTCCAGAGTCGGGGTGTCTCTGGATGGGGGTGGGGGCAGCTCCTGCTGGTCACATTTTGCAGTTATGTACCTCTGAACCAAGGACTCCATTCCTCCTGTCGGCAGATGGCTGGGAAAGACCCCTCTAGGCTGACGAGGAACAGCTAGTGGGGGTGAGGCTCCCACCCTGAGGCCTCTGAAGGAGACCATTCTGCCCAACTGGACCCTGTCCTGAACTTTCCAAGTCCGGGCCCTGGCTGCCTGCAGGGTCAGGCCAGGGAGGGGTAGAGAGGCTTGCACACAGACACTGGTGTCTTCCGCAGCCACTCCCACTCAGGAGGCTGCAAGGGCCTCAGCGCCGTCATGGAAACACCTGGGGCCGTGGTCTGCTGTTCTGTGCCTGCTCTGTCAGGCAGAGCCCTGCTTGTGAGAGACACTCTGGCTGGGCCTCCTCGTTGACATCCTGGCCTCCAGATGCCTTGGGGGAGGAGCCCTGGTTGTGCATGTGGGGTCAAGTGGGATGGGGCTGGCTGCTCTCTCTGCCTGCTCGTCACTCTGCAGCCCCAGAGTTGTCCTTGGTCTTCCTCTCATTTGACTTCTCTGAGAGAGAGGTGTGAAGCATGCTGGGACTTTTCACGCCCCCAGTATGAAGGATCCAAGGGTGTGTGTGCGTTTAGGGTGCAGCAGAGATGTGCTGGGTGTCCTGCCCGCTGCTTGGTCAGGGTCTGCAGCTTCCCCTGTGGCCTCAACCTGTTCCCGTGGCTGGTGGGCATGTTGGCTGACCTCAGTTTTGACCTGGGGAGCCTCCAGAATGACCTTGGCTGGGCTCTGCAGGGGGCACCCCCCCACCCTTTTTTGGTGTATCACATTTCTGCAGTGAGATTTCAAGATGTCAGGGGTCCTTCCGGAGGATGACCCTAACCCTGAGGCCCTCCAGACCTGGGAGGGCAGCACCACTATTTGCTTTTTGTACTGACTTCTCTCCTCTTCTTTTAAAGGAACTCTGCAACCTTCAAGTCATTTGAAGACCGAGTTGAGACCATAAAGGTAATTGTACCTGGACCCTCTGACTCTCTTGATGGGGTTACTTATGTCATTTAATAGATTTAATCATTGTAGCTTCGTGTACAGTTGTTGGAGGTGATACTGAGAAGTTTCTTGTATGTTTTACTCGACTTCCTCCAACGATGACATCTTGCAGACTCTAGTGCAGTCTCACAAGCAGGAGGTGGACAGTGATGTACAGTCGGGATGCAGAGCGGCCCTCCCCAGGGGCCCCTCGTGGTGCCTTTTATCACCATGCCCAACTTTCTCCTGCCCTTCCCCCAGCAACCCTAACCACTACTCTATTTCTATAAGTTTGTAATTTAAAGAGTGTCACATAAATGGAAGGACCATGCAGTATGTGACCCTGTGGGACTGGCTCTCTCTGCACTCTGAGTAACTGCCTGGAGAGCCAGGCTGTTGCCTGTCAGTGACTTGTTCCTTCTCACTGCCGAGAAGTGTTCATGTCACATAACATGAACATGTAGAGAATTGAGCACAGGCCTAAGGTCTGCCATGTGTTATGAGCTGTCTCAGGTTTTCCTTCCTGGTCTTTTCCCTTCTGTAGTCCAAGGTTGTGGGTAGCAGAGAGAATGGCAGTGACAGCCTCTCTTCCCCAACGGGGAGTGGTGACCAGACCCTGCCGGATCACACACCTTTCTAAGCCCGCAGTAGCTTCGCCCAGCCACGGACAGCGTGCAAGCACACCCTCCTCATCATAGCCAACCACAGCTCCGCGCAGTGCAGCTGCCAGCAAGGGCGACGGACAGCTGATTTTGAGGACAGGCGTGCCCATCACACGTCAACGTGGCTGCTGCATTCACGAGTTAGAGAACACTCTCTTGTATACAGACATTTTACACTAAAGTTCACAGACGAAAAGGATCACTGTGCCATCCTTCCTAGGGGTGCAGGAAGTGGACAGGTAGGAGGGTCCAAAGGGGTGCTGGGCCCAAGCTCCCTTTGGGGACCTTGGTAGCTCATCACAATGTTGCAGGAATGAAAGGGGTCAGAAGTGTAAAGTAAGCAGCATTTTCTGACCCTTCCTCCTCCTCCTACTCCCACCCCCCCAACTCACGGAAGGAAATAGCCACCCAGAAAACCTACCTGATCTGCAGGTAAGGTTGAACATGAAAACTGTCCATTTTCTGAGACCCCCAGAAAGTAAACTGATCATCAGCAGCTGTCTGATTGTCACACTAATGGTCTAGCTTTAACAAAAGCAAATTTATTATTTTTTAAGTGTAGTGGACTTTTCAAATATTAAAATTAGGCACAGCAGCTTTAGCCTCATAGTTAGAGAATATTATTTCTTTGGACTCAAGCTGAAATATAAGCCTTACATCGCCTTATGCTTTGTTTATAATCTTTTTATATATAAAAATGAAGGTTCTTTAATGAGTTTTCAGCACTATGTAGAATTTTACATCTAGCCCGAGTGGCAGCCTGCCTGTACTAATTGGTGTGTTTTAATTCATGAATGCACTCTATCCCAGTGTACAAAATGTACTTCTCTCTGTGACTGTGGCAGCTTCCACTGGCTCCCCAACTTTGACCCAAAGGGCTCCTCGCCTCTGGGGGTGGGAGGTGCCAAGAGAAGGAAAAGCCTCTGTCTTTAGCTCCCTTGAAAAGAGATGTACCCGCCCTTCACAGACTACCTTCACATGGGCCTGGGTATGCACTGGTGGCACTGGTCAGTGACTCCACTGTTCGCTGCACATAGCACGAGAAGCAGAACCAACCTTGCAAGTTGGTGGGGGTGGAGCATTGCAATCAGCTGGAACTTGGGTGTCGCCTTTTCTCAGGTGCTACAGAGATCGCTTTCCTGTTTTTAAACTGCCACACCTGGCAGCTCCTCTCACATCAGGGCCCTGTGTGCTGGGAGGTGTGGTCTATGGGGGCAGCTCTGTGCCTTCATGGCTCTTAGCAGGGCACTGAGACCTTGCCTGCTGTGTGCATGTCTGCACACTCCCTTGGGAAGGAGCCACTTGACTCAAGGTGTCTGGATTGGTAAAATGGGACATGTCTTCGGACAACCAAATGTCCCCAGACACTTCAGACACTTGGGGGGCTGCCCTCCACACACGAGCAGGATGTAGGGACAGAGCACTGCTCGGGATCCTTTTTCTGGGTTGAAACCTGTCAGTGGGGTGTAGTGAGAAGGCAGGTTGCAGGGTGGTAACAGGTGTATCTTCTCCTTATAGTCAATAATGGTAATTTGTCAATAAAGCATTCCTTTGGGGAAAAATCCTCTTCAGCTTATCTGGTATGCCTTTCAGGATGGTGATGAAAGTGGTAAATAAGCCAGCACATGAGTCTCCGGCCGTCATGAGCCCACACCTTTGGGAGAGGCAGGCGGTAAACATGATCTGAAATACAAACTGTAAATCTTCAGTGCTGTGGGGATGAGCAGAGCAGGCCCTGAGAGAATGCAACGAGGAAAAGACTGGGGGGTCCGAGCCGAGGCCTCTGAGGAAGTGGTATTGGAGCTGAGTCTCGGAGGATGGGCAGGAGCTTACCAGGTTCCAGGTTGGGCTCGGTACCCCAGGGCCTTGCCACCCAGACTCAGGACTGGCCCCCATTGAAGGCCTCCCTGCCCCGTGAGCACTGGCTGCAGCTGCAGTTGAGCAGTTGTAGTGTAGAGCTCTGGGCGTTGCCAAGGCCACGTGCTGTCCCTCTCGCTGTAAGGCTGGGTCACACCCAGGTTCAGGGAGCCCACTGGGTGGAAGTGGATATTGTATTGAATAGGATCCTGCTGCTCGGGTCAGCACCTGACAGCCATTGAGGGGGTTAGGTCACTCCCTGCTCACAACAGCCCTTCAGAGGCATGATCTTGTCCTACAGATGAGGGGTCCATTTGAAATATCAGAAGGTAACAGAAGCCCCTAACATGCCTAACAAAACAAGACAAGTTTGGAGGAGTTGGCTGGGTCAGAAGATGAGCTGAGGTGGCACAGATAAGCCTCACACTGGTGGTCTCCAGGCTGCAGACACCAGCATGGGCAGTGCGGGCATGGTGGGAGAGTGTGCATCTGACAGGAGGGGTCCCCAGGGTGATACAAGGACTGCTTTAAGTGTTTTAAGGTAATTTATTTACAGGATTCAGTAGTCAAAACTGGATCCAAAGGCATGCTCAGAAATGGGCTCTTGTCCCTCCCACCCCTTGATGACCCCTATCACCCAATCATGTTCCCAGTATTCATGCCAAAGCAAGCAAATATGAATGTATTCTCATTCCCTTCCCGTTGTTACTCAAAAGGTGGCATACAGTGTGTATTAGTCCGTTCACAAAATACACTGAACTGGGTGATTTATAAAGAAGATGAAACTTATTGCTTACAGTTTCTGAGGCTGAGAAGTCCAAAGTCCATCTGGTGGTGGCAGCAGTGACCCAGGGGTCTCACATTGCAAGATGGTGGAGCAGAGAGAGCAGAGAAACCCAGGGGTCTCGTCCCTCCCACCCCTTGATGACCCCTATCACCCAATCATGTTCCCAGTATTCATGCCAAAGCAAGCAAATATGAATGTATTCTCATTCCCTTCCCGTTGTTACTCAAAAGGTGGCATACAGTGTGTATTAGTCCGTTCACAAAATACACTGAACTGGGTGATTTATAAAGAAGATGAAACTTATTGCTTACAGTTTCTGAGGCTGAGAAGTCCAAAGTCCATCTGGTGGTGGCAGCAGTGACCCAGGGGTCTCACATTGCAAGATGGTGGAGCAGAGAGAGCAGAGAAAGACAGACTTTCCTCTTTTAAAGCCCTCCAAACCACTCCCCTGATCACCTTTTTTAATCCATTCACTACTGCACAGTCCTACAATCCAATCATTTCAAGGCTCCACCCTTCAATTACTGTAATAGGATTGTCCACCCTCAACAGTCACCATGGGGGCCAAGCTTCTAATACATAAAACTTGAGGGTCACAATTCAAGCTTCAGGGAGTTTTGGGGGGACATAATTCAACCAACTACACAGTGTTCTGCAGCCTGCTTTTCCTTCCTAACAACAGGGTCTGGAGTGCTCATGGCGTCATCTGTAGAGACCCTTGGGGGAGTATGTTCTGCACTGCCCTTGTACTTTGCATGTGTTTGTTCCTGCTGTCTTGGGAGTTCTCGTTAGGAAGCCCCTTTAGTGGGAGCATTGGACCTCCTTTGAGGGTCAGAGATAATGGGGCTCACCCCAGATGTAACAGCAGGAAAAGGTAAGTGACCTTGAATAGTATCGTACACACTCTCCAATACAACAGTGAGCTGTCACCAGCAATGGGTGTACAGTAGTCGCTGTCTGCAGCCAACATTTACCCTAATTTATGTTGGAAATGGGTTTCATGTGGTTTTTATTAAACAGTTATTTTCCTTTACATATTTGAACGCTGTAAGCAAATATTTTAGGTGTCCTGTGGGTAAGAATCTGCTTTTTGGGGTACAAGGTGAACCCGATGTGTACCCAGCCCTCAAGGACTTGCAGTTCTGTTTGTTGGGGGAAACGAGGTGTTCCCCTGAGTAATGGGCTCATGTTCCATGAGGTGTGGAAAAGTGCTGTGGAGCTTTGGGGCCTGAAGTGGGCAGAGCGGGTGGAACTGAGGGCACAGCTGAGGGGCTAGCTCTGGTAGGAGTAGTAAAAGCCGTGGCCTCAGTTCCCTTTCTCAAGCAGGACAGTGGCGCTGGCTCTATCTGATTAAAGGGCTTAAAGCCATGAAGCACTTAGCACACAGGGCCTGACACTGGAGGTACGTGTGAGACTCCAAAACCGTAACCACTGTCAACTTTTGATGGGTATCTTTCTGTCTTATTTTCTCCAAACAGGTTCACTAGTTCATTTATAAATGTATTTGTTATCGCTTTTTATTTTTTGGTAGCTGGCCAGTACAGGGATCAAACCCTGAACCTGGGTGTAAGCAGCACCATGCTCTAACCCCTGAGCTGACTGGCCAGCTCTGCGCTTTTTATATATCCTGCATCTTGCACGTTTTACTTTCAGGAGCTATCGCAAGCATTTTCTATACTCTTGTGTACATCTTTAATAACTACAATATTCCACTTGAGTGTGCATACTTGTACAGTTGGGCAGGTTTCCATTTTCGCTATCATGAACTATCATGAACATCTAGTGCATATACCTTTTTCTGTATTTGGAAACAGTCTTAGGAAGAATGTCCCTAAAGTGGAATTACTAGGTCTTGGAAGAACTCATTTAAGGCCTGATTCATTCATTCTTGCAGCTCTCAGCACAGGCGGAACATAGCTTCAATCTGAATTGGTACCTGGCCCATTTTGTTTTCTCATTTCTCAGTTCTGGCCCAAAGTACTTCATTCTCTTGAATCAATAGAAATAGATCAACCTGTACTTCTGCTTCTTGGTTTTCTTGGCTGCCTGCTTGATGCTGCAGTTTGATGACTGCTAGGAGGCTTTCTGAGGTCTCTGCTACTTACAGGCGCTGAGCCTGAGACAAGACTGGCATGACATCAGTGACATGAGATGAGGGCCAGAGCATGCTGGAAAAGTCTGGATTCTATTCTGTGTGTCATGGGAAGCCTTGGATATTGAGCGGGAAAAAAATAAGCACCGGAGTGTTTTTCCTCTACTCATGTTCAACAGCAACACAGAAGACCGACTTCTGTGGCCAAACACGTGAGGATTTCTCCCCACTGGCAAGCAAGCTGCAGTGGACACCAGCTGGGTGTCCTCCAATTCAATTCTGGTACTACCTTTCTGGAGACAGCGTCAGATCCCAGGAGTTGAGGGCTCAGTCCCCAAGACTACCTCCTCCATTTCTTTCTTTCTTTTTTTTTTTTTGTCCTTTTTGAGACCGGCCGCATCGTGCTCAGCTAGTGAGCGCACCGGCCATTCCTATATAGGATCTGAACCCGCGGCGGGAGCGCTGCTGCGCTCCCAGCGCTGCACTCTACCTAGTGCGCCACGGGCTCGGCCCCCTCCTCCATTTCTGATGCCAGTCACAAGCTAGTTTCACCTGGTCTTCTGACTGACTGGCTGTAAATTGGGGCTCCCACATCCCCCTCCTTGGGTTTGATTAAGTGCTGCGCAGCTCACAGAACTCAGGGAAACACGTTTACCCGCTTATTTTAAAGGATAACACAAAAGACAGATGAAGAGATGCATAAGGTGAGGTATGGGAGAAGGGGCGTGGAGCCTCTGGGCCCTCCCTGGGCACCACCCTCCAGGAACCTCCATGTGTTCAGCTATCCAGAAGCTCCTCAAACCCTGTGCTCTTGGGTTCTTATGGCTTCATTAAGTAGGCATAACTGAAGCATGGACAAGCGTGTAGAAATGTGATTAGACAAAAAGGACATGATCTAATGTTAATAGACTGAGGGGGGAACCCAGCAAGGCCTGTTTAGATTCTTCTTGGCCTCTCTCTGCAGCATTCCTTCCTCCCAGGTATGGGGTGGGGCCCCTCCTGAAATGACCTACAATCAGTTAAGGTAGGTCAGAGGATTCTTTATGGCCAGCTCCGAGACAAAAGCGGGGGATGGTTAGAAAAAGTCAGGAACTGTGGGTGAAACCCAAAATTTACATATATCACAGATGTCGTCTGGTTTATGTTTTAAAAAGATGACTCCGCTAGGAAATGGTCATCAGGCAGGAGTGGAAGCGCGAAGGCAAGAGCACTGGCTGCAAGCGTCTGCTCCCTAGCTCCTGGGATGGAAGTGGCACATGCCCGCACGTACAGCACAGCGCAGGCTCTCAACAAACGGCAGGACGGCTACAGCTACAGGGAATGACGGGAAGGGTGACCAGCAGGTCTTCCCTCCCTCAGCGGGTCAGTGGAGGAAGCAAGGGTTGTACCCAGAGAGGGAGGTGGAGTGGGAATTCGTTTTCCTGACCGTCCATGCCATTGTTTGGGGTGATTCTGGGAGGGTGGCTGGGCAGTGGCGTGGCATTTCAGCGACTGGACAGGAAAAAAGGAAGTCTCATGTCGGAGCTTCAGGGATGAGCAAACGTCAGTTCCACGACGGAGGTTCGGGTGGGGGTGGGAGGAGTCGGTCTCTCTGCCATCTCCCACCTGCTCCCTCTCCAGTTCTCTGATGAGGACAAGTACGTTTTCTCAGCCTTACGTAAAGCTCTGAGCAGACAGCTGCAAGGCAAGCCCCGCACCTCTCCTAACGCGGCTGGCCGCGGCACCTGCCAGGCTCCAGGAGGGCTGGCTCCGCCCCGCGCCTCGGCCGCGCCCCCGCCGGCCGGCCAGAGCTTCCGGCTCCTCGGCTGCGAGCTCCGCCCACCGATCTCGGGGCC